CACTGGTTAACGAGCAGGACACCCACTCACCTTGTCATCCTTCTTCCCTCCCCCTGGCCCGTGTCCCCCACTCTGGCTCTGACCCTGGAATCACATGAAAACACGCACCGCGAGTGATGGAAACTCATAAAGCACCCGGCCGGAGATCCCTGCCGGACTACTGCACACACTTCAGTTAGCACTCCGTAGCTACAGATCGCCAACAACACTGCAGCACAGCAGACCCACGATTCAGATCGTCTTAAACAGGAAATTGATCTTGCAGTTCCAGCCATTCGCCACAAAGAGACCGGGCAAGCGATGTACTGGGCAAAATACAGCAATACAACCTGTGAATTACATTCAGATAATCGAAAAAAAAACGCTGCTTGGTTTGCATTGAGTTGGAGAAGTTGGAATTCAGAGTGAAACGAAATCCGCGCTATGAACTCTCTATGTGAATGTTGTAGTTTTTATATTTCAAAGCAATTCCCACTGGAAAAGAGATAATACTTGTTACTTAAACCCAACATCATTAGGAATTTAAACCTCAGAAAGGTGGCAGCGGTCCCCGTCTAAGAACAATGTTTTTCCCCATGTTTAATAAACAGCATGTATAGATTTTTTTTTGTTAAAACAAAGAGGTTAGGTGACATCTCATGAACCCTTCAATCACACTTCACTTTTAAGCTTATTCTGTAAAACGACAAAATATGAAACGGGCATATCGAAATATTTGTCGTTTTATTTTTATTTGCTTGTATTATAAACTACCTTTGTAGATTTATTATTATAACTTAATACTCCCCGACCTACAGGAGAAAGGGGAAATCCTTTCCGTATTTCAATCTAACAGAAATTAGCTACCCGAATTGTTTTAGGTGGCCTTTTCCAATGGCAACAAACAAAGGCAAATAGAACGGGAGACTTACTTACATAAGATAGAGAAATATATAACAAAAAGAGGGATCCTGTAACCTGTTCAACTTCGCTGTTTCTCGTGAAAACCCGGTTAACAACAGTGACGACTGGGCATGAGTAGACAAAACGAGTCAGTCTAAAGATTTCACTTAAAATACCGTTTTGGCAAAAATTACTGTCTACCGTAAAGTCTGCTGAACACAAAATAAACCTGTTCGATTTCATAAGATCAATCGCATACAGAATATTGACGACAATAAGATACAAATAAAGAGATTTTGCTGACTTACCATCGCTCACACAACAGCCGGTCTCTCAGGAAATACGTCACTCTACGGCAAGCGCAAGGTCAAACGTCCTCATGCATGAAAAAGCGAAGCGTCCTTGCTGCGCTTGTCGATGTCTTTATTACCTATAGGGAATGAGGACTGACGGTCTCTGTCCGGAAATATTTACCCTTCGTATGTTAATAACTTCGTTTCGTATAAAACCCATCCAACGTGATATAACTTTTACGTTTAGCTCATTGTAGTTCAGCAAGTGTACCGAAAGCTCATGAAAACAATCATTGTGTAAGTTTTATTGATATAGCGAGTGTTTTTTTTGTTTTGTTTTTTTCCGATAATAGTAGAATAAATAAAAAAGGTGTCGCATATTGCAGGTAGCACACTAGCAACACAAGAAAAATTAGTCATAACCTTGCTCTGTATTATTGTCTGACCCTTTTACTGCTTTAAATCAGCATGACCGCGTGGCCTAATGGATAAGGCGTCTGACTTCGGATCAGAAGATTGAGGGTTCGAGTCCCTTCGTGGTCGTTTTTAGGTGAGGTGGCTCAGGATCTGCGCCTGTGGCTGGAAGGTTGCTGGTTCAAATCCCCCGGCCGGCAGAGGAGTCCTACTCCG